TAGGCCGCAGGAGGGCCCGGGGCGCTGGCGCTCCGCCGGCTTTACGCGAAGCGCGGCCTCCGCCCGCCGCCTTCCGCCCTTCCGAGGAGTTTGAGCCCGGGGTGCGCCGGCGTCCCCAGTGCTTTGCCGGGTTTGGGGTTTGGTTCGCCGCGGGAGTCGCTCGTAAACTGCGGGTTACTGCCGGGGGGGAGAGCGCTCTGCAAGGGCTGCCGCAGGCATGACCCTTGCTAAGGAAATAGCTCGGAAATAACCCTTTACCGGCCGCTAGAGCAACTTGGTTTTCTTTTACGGCGAGTTTTCCATCGTATCGTGGCCTCTCTAGTCTGGTTCCCTTTTTTTTTTTTTCCGTGAAAGCCGCGATCTTATTGGCAAATAGGGACGTGATTTAGAATTTGCTTGGGGACTGCTTTGTATCTGCTGTTCTTCATGTGATTGTGACAGTTTAAAACAAAAAGCAGGAAAAACATGTGTGGTTTTCATGTGTCATCAGAGTAAGTGCCAGAAAAACCAGCAAATGGCTTTCAAAGTACCTGTTAACTGTAACAAAGGATTTTAAGTCCCGAATTGTTATTATTATTTCCCCTTCTTTCTTGTTTTATAAACTTCTGCGTGTACATGGGGTAAGGTTTCTTTTTTTCAATGCGGTCACTGATCTTACCTTCCTGTTGTTAAATACTTTCAAGTGAGACTTTTGTAATCGTTAACTCACCTGGGGAAGGCACAAATCTTTTGTTATCTTGTCATTGTTTTTGTTGCCGTATAAAGATGAGGGAAGAAGTGTGTCTGAATTAGTTGGGTTTTTCAGTTTTAATTTTAGAAAGCAAATTCCTATCTCTTTGATGGATTTATTTTTGATTTTGGGTGTGTTTGGAAGGTTTGGCAACATCAGAGTATTTTCATTTAGACTATAGTAATACATCATGGCAAAATAAAGACATACAGTCCTATGCAAAGAAGCAACCAGAAGACTGTATTGTCTTAGAGAGCTTGAAATACCAATATGCTATAAAATGCAGCAGTGCAAATTGATCATTGATATTATAGACAGATGAACCAGGATGATGTAGAGATATCAATAGGACAACGTTACTGGATACTCCTGATTTTGTTTGTTTGTTTTGGGTTTTTGAGAATAGCAGACTTGCGAAGTGATGCATTTTGAATCAACAGATTGCATGGGTGTAAAAGAAGGCCAGGTGCCCGTACTTCTTTGATCCTTGGTCAGCATAACGAGAGTGACAGTCTGGTTTGCTAGCTCTTGTTATTACCTGGCTTGAAATCTCTTATTCACTTCATGCAAACTTCCACGTAGCTTTGACCAAGTTCAAAGTAGTGGTTTAGTTCTCTCCTGCAGATATGCTTAGTTCTGCTTTAATGAGTACGGCTAGCGAGGCCAATGTGAATATTCGTAGTAGTAAAATTCAATGTGTTGTATTTAGAAAATCAGGGCTTTTGAAAAAGAAGTCCTTATGCCTCTTGGTTACGTAGGGATAAATCAGTTCTCCTTGACAACTACTTGATTGTTTTGTTGTCAGATGAGTCAAGCTGAATATCAGAATGAATGCACTTTACAGTTTAGCTCACCAGCTGCTGTCCAATTCTGTGTATTTGTGTCCGCGCATGTACGTGCGCATGCATGGGGGTGGGTCTGGCATTAAAACTGCCAGCCTTCCTATCTTTTTGGCTATGCCAGTTTCCCAACTTTGCCATCACCGTGAAAAATTCACTTCTTGGTGAAGCAAGCAGAATTAACTGTATGCTTGGAAAGGAGAGCTATTTCACCTGTTTGCCTATAACACTCTCTTAGTGAACAATTTCATTTTTGAATGCTTATTTTTATAAGTATATTTTAGCACAAGGTTGCAACAATTTTTTGTTTTGTAGTTGCAGATCAGAAACTTGAGCCAGTAAATGGATCAAGTACAAAGGCATAGTTATCATTCCTTAGTTCCGGTGTTCTGTGCTTACCAGGTGTCTCCTGAAATGCTACTTATTTGTTACATGTGTCAAAGAACTCTCCTGATAATTGATTTTACAGTGGTTTATATCATGAGAGTATGGTCCAAAGTTTCTTTTACTTAAAGAACTGCAGGGCTGTATTACTGAAAAAGCATTAGTATTGAAAAGCTTTCTTAATTCTTTCTCAAACTCATTTTCTTAGATGAACAATAGGCTAGGAAAGCAAAAACATGATAATTTGCATTTGATGCCTTTGTGATGAATAAAAACAAAATGCAAAAAGACTGAAAATTACTGACAGATCTTCAGCAACAATTATTAATTAACAGAGCAGATTGTACTGACTGTTTGCACTTAATAATGGAATTGTTTGTTTAATCACCGTCCATTTAAAGAAAGTTATAGATGTCTAACACTTCTGACTGCAAAAGATTTCTGCAACTCCAGGTAAACCACTTTAGTTTTCTTCTCATCCACATTAACCCTTTTTCTGGAGCTCCAAGTATTAAATGGAAAAAGGGTATTGGTAATAATACCAAAAATTTCAGATTTTATAAAAAGCACTGGGTTATTCAAATGGAAGACATGTTGTAACAGAGGTGATCTTTTCCAATAAATTGTGATTGCCTTCATGTAAATGGTTTAGGAGAGCTGTTACAACACTTAACTAATGTTATTTCTTTCAATGAAAGATGCTCTAAGCGTGAAAGGTATTAGGCATTGAACATTTTGGCTTTCTTGAAAACTTGCAGTCCACTTAGGGTTTGTCCTGATGTCATGGGTGGCAGCCATCTCTATTTATTTTTGACAAATCTGAATAATAATGTAATTTAAATGCTATGGAAAATAGTATTAATGAGTGGAAAAAGTGGGTAGGGAAAGGGATGATTTATTCTTTTCCTTCCTGAGCTTCTTTGAAGAACATAAGCACAGATGCATTTATTTAAAAGCAGACGTTCATTTGACAGTCTTTAATGGTTCATTTTGGAACGGTTATACACAGAGATGAAATATGATAGAGAAGCAGTCATTTCACAGATATATTTTTTTCTGATGGATTCTTTTAGCATCCATATGTATCCTGAGATTAATTCTTAAATGCATGTACTTTAATCCAAAGAAGTGTTTTATACGTTTCTTCTTTTACATGTCGTCTTAGCCTTTGCTCTGCTCTGTCAAAACAAAGCTAGATTTAGTTATTTTTATGCTCCTTTCCTAAAAGAAGTGTTCCATTTTACCGGTCCGCTTTGTAACCTTCCTGAGTACCTGCCTGTTCTACCTGAATCTGTCTATCACAGGAAACAGGCTCACGCAGAGCACCTGGCTCACTAAGCTCAGTCTGTGTAGTGTTATGCGACAGTACTCTGTTGAACATGAAGTTACTGGAGGGCTCTGTGAGTCTTATCTCCTTTTTGGGAGATACTGCGGCGCTTTGCTCTAGACCAGAGCACATCCATAGCAATTAGGTGTACTGTGCTTCGGAAAGTCACCAGGTAACTGTGAATTCTGGTGGTGTCACGTGGCATCAAGCGAGGTGCTGACTGCTTAATATTTGTGCACATAGAATAAGCCTAAAACAGTTTTCTTTTTGGTGACAGAACTGGTATTACTTGTGGTGTTACTGGTATTACCTGTAGTTGTGGTTTTGTAGTTGTAGCAGTTACTGATGTTTTAAAGGTACGTGTGCAAGCTGTTACAACTAAGGCTAGTGACAGGGTGAAACATTTGTGTGCTTCTGTCAGTCTAGTCTGTGTTTTGAAAGTCATCAGCAGTGCCAATGACTGGGGCAGCGTGTTTAGGCGCACTGAGGTAGGATGTTAATTACCCCTTTTGTTTATCTTGCCTTGAGATGTCTCTAATACTGTATTCTGTTTTTCCTTCCTCTCCTTTAGCTTTATGTTTCCTGCTTGTGCAGTGTGTAATGTCATTATCCCTGCTTCGTTTTAAATATTTCCTGATATTCCTGAAATATATTGGGGGAGCGGGAGGGAGAGGGGAAGCACGTGCATACCAAATGCTGTAGTGGCCACAGCTGTTTCTCTGCACACAGGGCATGGAAATAGTACCAGCTAGCAGATTATATCCCCTTGCTAATGACAAGCACAAAAGAGAACTGGCTTTATTATCCCAAGGCAATGCAGAAGCAATAAGCCACTCTCACTAGCTTCTGGACTTCCTATCGTAAATTAATCCTGCGTGGTACTTTTTCTGTCTGCAAAAATCCTTATAATGAACGCTGTTTCGGGGCAAATAACTGATTCTTGAGTCTTGCAATGTTTAGGGAGATGTGTAAGCTTGCTAGTCAGCTATCTTATCTGCAAGTTGTGGGAAAACTTGAGCAAATTACCAATAAAATGAGATTTCAGGAACAGTTTGCATACAGGTAGAAGAAGGTTTATACATTTTTCTGTCTGTTGCCATCACTCGGCAAGATAAAAAGCATATGCAATTACAAGACAGGCAGAAATGGTAATGATTTTTGAAAATACTAGAATTAGTTTCCAAGTGTAAGTTGTGGCAGAAAGTCATAAGCCATGTGATCGAAGTTTTGAGTTCTGTGGTTTTTATGATGAATATTTCTGATTAGATGATATTCTCACTTGCTGCATGTTAGATTTTTTTTTTTTTAATATGGCAGATGATGCAAGGGACAAGAAAAATCATGTAAATCGTGTGACTCTGTTTTCAATCTGTCATCAAAACAGTTATTTGAAAGTGTGACCTTACATTTGATCTTTGTCTATATAGCTGTGGTTATCAAACCTGATCATTCCCCTGATTGAACAGTAAGCTACTGTTAACTTTCAATTTTCCTGCCTCTGCCTTATATCTTTATCATCAGACCTTTTTTTTTTTTTTTGAAATCACTGTATGTTTTCTGTTTTAATACAGTTCAATAAGTTAGCTGGGGACAATTTGCCATAACTTATTAAACATGAAGGTGCAAGTTAGTGTTTAGAGGACTGTAGCTTGATAAAGAGATTTATGTGAGAGTCCTTGATTCCGTATTTAAGTAATATGTTGTATTTAATTCAATAGCTTTACTGAAATCGGAATTTATCCCAGATTGTCACCTTTGCCTAAGTATCAGCTTTAAACACTGCCATAGAAAGACTCACTTGACTAGTTTACCAGATTAATGTTCTAAATTTTTACCTATGTGAGGATTTAAAACTGATATAATATGATATTCTTTCAAATCCTTCTCTCTTACTACTGTAAAAATAGTGAATTTAATCTAATTTTTTTGGATGCTCTGGTAATTTAAGGGATCGATTTCTCCTTAAGTATGAAGAACACAACTGAAACACTTGTTAGGTGTATGTAACTAGCTAAATTATAATTGGAAGATATAGTGGACTTGATGAAAAAGGACATGGAAAAGGCCAAAGTACTCAATACCATTTTTGCCTGTTTTTTCCCTGGTAAGGTGAAAATCCATGGGACCAGGCAGTGGCTAGTGTCACTGAGAGACTCTTCCCTGTTGCCTTTGAAAGGCCATGGTGGTCTGTGAAGGTTCCTAACAGCTGCA